TGGGGAGGGAAGGAGGGGCTGAAAGGAGGGCAGGGACAAGGGGAAAAAATGAGAACCAAGACCTATCATGTAAAGGTATGAGATCCCAATAATGAATGTGACTGTACTGTATACCTAAAATGTACCAAAAACTCAATGAAAAGAAAAAAAATGTTTGAATAAGTTCAAAATGCTTCTGGTGTTGGAAAAGACAAACTGATTTTTTACTTATGTCGATTACTTTTCACTTTGGGAAATAAAGTCATAGGTAATGACTATGTGGAGCTACTTTTGACCACGAAGGTGAGCCAGATGGTAACACAGAAGCAAGGAACGTAACCATGCCCTGTCAGAGCCCCCAGTAGACGGCTTTTGGATGGATAAGTTTACCCCTCAAATAAAGGAAGCAGATTTCAAACAGCCGAGAGAAATAGATCCAGATTCGAAACAGGAAGGCCGTAAGAGGAAAGCAGAACTTCAAACTCAACATTAATAATCACTGACACAGACTTAGTACTTCCTGTGCAATGCTCTACTTAACCCCTAAAACATCCCTTTGAGTACTTATTGCTACTCTACTTTAAAAGATGAGTAAACCAAAGCCAGCAAGGGCAAGCCCTTGTCCAGAGCCCCACAGCTCTAAGTGGAAGAGGGAGGGCCAGGAACACTGCAAGTCTGGCCCTGGAGGCAGCCCTCTTGACCAGAAGCAATGGACTGAAAAGTCAGGCAATTTTGTCAAATAGCAAATATTTTATGCTTTGGGGACCATCTTGACTCAGGTATTTGGATTTGGCCCAATGATCTTAATTTTGCCATTAGCAATGACTGAATTACAAAAGCCCAACCCGGAATTCTATTTGTCAATGAATAGTTCCACTTGCCAGAAAAGGATGTATTTCCAAGTTTTTTCCCCTCTTCATTCCCTCTTTTTAAAGGACCTCAAATCTTAGAATTGGAAGATGTTGTTCATTAAAAGTATATGTGTATGTAGGAAATCAAATTCTGAAATGCAAGGCCATGGGGAGGTGGAGGGACAGAGGGGTTAAACTATTCCTATTCCTATTCCTATTCCTATTCCTATTCCTATTCATGCTTGAATAGGAAGCAGCATGGTTTTAGGGCTTTCAAACCAGGCTCTGAAGCTAGATGGCCTCTGAGACCCGGCTGTGGCAGATGAGCTATGGAAACTGTCACTGTCACCTTCCTCGCCTGGAAAATTAGAATTTAGAAGGACCTAGTATTTATGGGCTCCTGTGAGCAGGGGATGAAATCACACAGGTGCCATCAGTATAGTAAAAGCCGAGTGTACCTCAAAATAAATTACAAATACTAATTGCTAAGAACCCATGTTTAACAGCACAGTGCATTCCAGTTCTGCATCCTTAAAGATGCAATGCACTGCAATTCGCTTTCCTAATCGTATTAGAATTAAAATTCAACTCACGAGATTTACGTTTAATGCCAAATAGAATGAATGCTTTAAGCGACATTTCAGTATGTGGTTTTTAACCTTACCACTGAACAGTATAGTTTCCCTAGAAAGATTTTAATTATGACCTTTAAGCTTATCCTTACTTACTTTTTAAGATCTAAAAGGCAACTCTTTAAAATCCTCTTTGCAAACTTTCCTTCTAAATTACTGTTTCCTGTTACACTTCTATTACACTGACTCACTTAGGCATTAAACAAACTGCAATAAGGCCATATTAAACCAACTCCAAATCAACTTCCAGACACCTGAAATGTAATCAGATCTGTTTTGAAAGTAAAAGGATCTTTGGTCATGGGTGATTAATGAGTTAAGCCTTTAGGAAAAGGAATGCAGCCACAGAAATAGCTTCGTCACTCTGCTTACATGGGTGCTCGAGAGAGGAAGTGGCATTACTAGAGTCATTCCTGTTCACTGAGTTCAAAGAGTGAGACAAACTGGGCATGGTGGCGCATACTCGTAATCCCAGCACTCACAAGGCTGAGGCAGAAGGATTTCCATAAATTTGAGGCCAGCCTAAATTACACAGCAAGACCCAATCAAAGAACAAAAACACCTCTACTCTCAAATGTGTCTATGTTCATGGCTTGTTTCCAGAAAGTGAGGGTTATAGGGAATCTATGTTCCAAAGCAGATGTTTTGGGGACATATTAAATAAGATCACTAAAATCACCAGAGGGGAACTTTGTTTCCCAGCTAGAGAAAGTAGGGTTAAAGCAGACTTTATTTTTAAATATTTTTTCCTATCCCCACTTCTCTACAACTTGAGAAATCAAAGAAAGTTTTTTTACACTTTTACATACTAAGGTTGAATAAGCAAAGGCAAAATTTCAAGATTCTGACACCAGCAAGTCAAATATTTGTAAAATCAAAGAAAGCACACTGGGTTTGGAAAAGGAACATTAAATCTCTTGTTAAATCTGTAACAGTTGTGTGGTCTAAGGGTGGCTACACCTGGCCTGCAGTAACCACTGGGAATGGTTCCATGACCACCCTTGGATGCCAAAATCTGTGGATGCTCAAGACCCTTATGTAGAATGCGTATAATTGCATATAATCTGACACATTTGAAATCTGCAGACTTTCAACCATTATTGCCTTGCTTGTAAAGCCTAAAGGGACATAATGATATGTAAAATAGATTATCCTGTTTAAAGTATAATGATGAGGAAAAACGTTTATACATGTTCGTGACAGATGCATGTTTTTTTCCAAATAATTTTTTGTCTGAGTTGAGGCTGTGAATGTGAAACCCACCCACCAGGAGGGTGGGCTGCACTATCCTCTCCTAGCTCAATCTCTACATGGTACCAGGTGTTGAAAAAAATAGTCTGAGCAGAGAGGTACATTAACTCTTACCTCGAGAACAGTCTTACTGACTACAAGAGCTCCAGCTGGATTTGAATCTTTTTAGCATTTACTAGTTGAGTGACCTCGGGCAAACTACAACAACCTTCCATGCCCTGGTGTTTTGATCTGTAACTTGGAGGTACCAATGTATCCTGTGGTTTGGGCGGGTTTAACTGAGATGACATGAATTGACTGAAATGCATTTAAGAATTAATAGGTGTCTGTTTCCTAAGTGACCAATGTGAGTCATTATTATTTGAGTGTAACAAGAAGACTTAGTCTTCAAAAAGACTGGACATTCCCAGAAACCATATTCCCCTGCCTATCACTGCCCTAATCGCGGGGTACATCTGCATTGACAGCTGTCTACTGGCTAAAAACTTGAGGCAGGAGTGGTCTTCGCCAGAAAAGTAACAGTGTATTTTGAGTTAAAGTGCTTGCTTTAAAGACCTAGCCTTTATTCTAAGGTCTCAGCCCTAGTAGTTTTTGTTTGGTTTTTTGGGGGGGAGGGGATTCTGTTTTTTTTTTTTTTGAGACAAGGTCTCCCTATGCAGTTCAGGCTTGGGTGTATCCCAACTCGCTGTGGATCCCAGGCTGGCCTCAAACTCACAGCGATCCTCTTGGCTCCGCCTCCAAAAGTGCTGGGGTTACAGGTGTGCCCCACAGTGCCCAACTTACCAGAACGTTTTTGGAAATTAAATTGTTTGATGAAATATTGGCGAAGGTTAAATGGAGCAAAATTAAAGGTTGGGAATCCTATTCTGGGACCCCAGATTCTTGAAAACCCGTAGTTCAAAATTGACCTCAAGACCTCGCCTCCGTTGTGGCCGGCCTGACCCACCCGGAGCAGGGCACAGGAGAGGCAGCCAGGGATCCCCGCGTGTGGCAGCCGGGACACAGGGCGTCCTAGGCTCCTTTTACGAAATCCTACCCGCCGATTGGCCACCAAAACCGGAACTTCACCCAATCCCAAGAGCCCTTGGAAGTCTCTGCCAATGGGCAGAGCGGAGCCAATGGACGCTGGCGTTGTAGCCCCTGCAGCTGGAGGCCAGTTCCGGCTGTTCCGCTGGGCGGGCAGGGACGGCTGGGCCGGGTGTGCTGGGCCCGCCTGAGGCCTTCTGTGAAGTCAGCGGGTGTCGCCTCACCTGGGCAGGGCGCGTTGCCTTGTGCCCGGCCCTCGGGACTGAGAGGCCACGCTGAGCCTCAGCGACTGAACTGGGCTCCTACCGGAGAGCTGTCCTCGGAACGGGCTGTGGCTCACGCCTGCAATCCCAACGTTGTGGGAGGCTGAAGCAGGAGTACCTCAAACTCCAGCCCAGCGGGGGCACCTCC